GGTCATGAATTTAGTGTAAACGAAAAAGTTCTTATATTCAAAGTAATCACATTTTGTGAACAAGAGGAAACAGGACCTATTATTTCTTTGAATAACGTAATTGAACGAATTTCAACGCTGCTAGGCATTTCCGAAAGGTCAGTGTACAGAATGAAAAAGGAATTGAATGAGTTGATAGAGCAAGAGAAACAAGAACTTGAAAAACAAGAGAAACAGAAGCAGGAGGAAGAAGATAAAGAAAATGAAAATAAACATCAACTTCGAAGTCGAACAAAGTCGGACTCTACATTGGAACACCGTCAAACATCTCCGATCCTTGCTCCACCTAAAAGATCACACGAACATAAGCGTCATACTGGACCTTTAGCTGCTTCAATAACACAAGTATCTATTCCTAAAGCATATTCTCCAAAAAAGAAAGGTAAGCATTATTGCTTTGATTTGAATGAATAGATGAGAATTTCAACTTTTCTCTTAAGATAATTCTGGTTCTCATAAATTGTTTCTGACTGAATATGTGAAAGATGTGATCAGACATCATTTTTACTTACTGTTACAAGACAAAATATATCCAACAACGGCAAGACTGTTGTCTCGCCTTCATCAAAATTTTGATGATTTTTTCATTCATTTTGTTTGTTAAATTTTGGCTTGAGATGAAGAAAGTGAGTGCTAGACTTTGAAGTGAGACTTTTTAAAAAAGAAAAGAAGTTTATCTTTTGAAATTTAGCTCGGATTTACATATCAACGAACAAGTCAAGCAAAAATTCCACTTGATTCGAACTCATTCATTGCTTCTAGAGCTCGTTATTTTGAAACCGAGAAACAATTAAGAGAGTCTCATGCTCAAATTTATTTCCATGATGAATCATGGATCAATTTAGGAGATGTTAGAAAAAATATTTGGGTGCATGAAGGAAAAGGACGCCTTCGCCAACATGATGGCAAAGGTGAGTTAAGTAGATTTTACCAGAGGATTTTTTCATTAACAATTCTTCACAGTGAGTTAGGAAAAAGGGTCGCAATATCTGCATTAATCAGTCCGCAAGGTTATCATCATGATTCTGTTGATATTTTTGCCTGTCGAGAAGAACACAATATGGATAGTGATCGATTTGTCAAATGGATAACAGATACATCTATGAAATTACGTATACTTCACGGTGAGTGACGAAAATTTAGACAATTTTTTACTTTCTTGAACTCTTCTGTCTATTTCTGTACGAGATAAAGCTAAGATTGCAATTGTGCTAGATAATGCACCGTGGCACAATGTTCTTACACCAGAGTCTATAGTACTAAAGAGATCATGAAGAAAAGGACAAGTGCAATAATGGTTGAATGATCATCATGTTTCATTTGATAGTCGTTCTGTCAAAGCTGAACTGTTGGAGCTAGCCTTGGCTAATGCGCCAAGTCTGCCGGGGGAGTTTTTGAGCTTCCATAGGGGCCTGCAGATGTTTCGACGGAAGCAGGAGGCGACTCTGGGCTGCCGGTAGCCAACCGTCTGACTTTCAGGCTAGCAACCTGTCATTTGGACATTAAACAATTACAAAAATATAACATTTAAATAGCAGCATTATGTGAAACAGCAATTTATGATTCAGGAACTAAATCAATTGGAGACTATACATTATTATACTCTGGTCTTCCAAGTGTCAATAAAACACGATCAGTTCATGGAGTGGCTGTCCTACTGGATAAAAGGGCTACGAACAACTGGAAACAATCAGGTTCAGAATGGCAAGCTATTACTGAGAGAATTATCAAAGTTAGATTGAAATGTACACCTATGCATATCACCTTTATCGCTGTGTATGCACCAGTTAATCCATCAAACAAGACAATGGCCGATAACAGTGAAAAATTTTATATGGATTTTCAAGAGACAATGGATGGAATATCGAAAAACGATATGATTGTATTAATAGGTGATTTTAACGCACGTGTTAGTCAACCTCAGCATCCTACGACATTTCGCACTGTTGGACCATTTACGATGGATGCACAAAATGAAAACGGCGAGAGTTTAGTTGATTTCTGCACCACAAACAATCTGGTCATATCGAACTCATTCTTCCAACATAAGTCAGTGCATCAAACTTCGTGGATGCACCCTGGAACAAAAAAATGGCATTTGTTAGATTATACATTGGTAAACAGAAAAATTAAATCAAGTGTAGAAGATGTACGCTTTTATAGAAAAGCAAGTGGAAGCATAGGTACAGATCATCATCTCATGAGATCTAAAATTAAATTACATTTGAAATCAAGAAAATCGATGACAAGCTAGCACAACACGAACAATTACCACGAAGCAAAAAAAAATTCATTAGTCGAGGAATTAGTCAATCACAAACACATTCCCAGCACACACCACTATAGAGGTCAATTCGATGGAAATGACGCATGCATAGCAACCTAGATCCACATGAAATTCATTTAACAGTGCCTTCAGTAAAAAAACAACTCCCACTCGCATCCCTGACATATTGAGTTCACATATCGAAATCAATGCTGCTGAATCCAACTTCCATTGCCAACACAGAATGGATGCACGATTCGATAGAGAATCAAATTCTCTACAAGATGATGTATTCAGTATGGAGAGAATCGATTTCTAACAGGGCCCTAAGTCGAAAAAAAAGATCCGACTCACATCTCCAATAAAGAATACATCCTACTCCACGATGCTGAACATTTTGGAATCAGCTCCGCCCCCGGAACCAGTGCCATCCAATTCCGGGAACTCGATCATCATTCAATATAACACATCAACTCGTCACTGACCGAGTTTCATCAAATTCCCGGAATTCCCAGAACTAAGTACAGACGGAATTACCCCGAATTTTCCGGAAATCAGGAATCGGACGGAATTCCTAGGAATTCCGTGTAATTCCCTCCAATTCCGGAGTTGGTGGGGATACTATCTCAGTAGGTCTGTTGTTGGCAATGACGATCGAGTTCCCGGAATTGGATGGAACTGGTTCCGGGTACGAAACTGATTCCGCAATGGTCAACATTACGGAATAGGATGACTGCTCGGCTCTTTGGGAATGGGAGTCTTGTCAAATTTACATACAAAAACCTGATATGGTAAATCTTATCAGAATGCCTGATTATTCCATAGTACCATGTGCCGTACAGAGATCTACTCAACGGTGAAAACCTCAGGTCTCTATCACATCCTTCTTCAAAAGTTATAAGCATTTTTGTGAACTGCCTTTTTTTCAAAAATCGATATGAGTGGCTTCGAATTTTGTCCATTTTGAAAACAAAAGTGCTGGTATGAAACAAGCTGTGTTTTGTAGATTGCAGTTTTGTTCATGCTGCATCTTGTGGTATTTTTTGTTTTTTAAATACAATGTATTATGTGGTGAAAAAATGAAATGAAAAAAGGCAATTTTTTTGTCTGCAGGGGAGTTAATGGTTTACAATGTCGAACATTCTTAATATTCACACAGATACTACACAAATATTCGGAAGCCTGGATCCTATATTGGGAGATAAACGCATCCAACATTCTCTGCGTCATAATTCTCACTGCTCCTGTTGCATCCTCCGTATCTCAACGTGTTATCCCGGCCGTTTTTACTCAGGTTGAAATGTATGTCATACTGTTGTCCTGACTGGTTCTTAGCGATCCTGGACAAATCACTCTGTATCTGAACCGTATAGTGGAACGAAGGTCAACAAGTTTACCTCTATAGGGCTTTTTCATGAATTTTTGGCACTGCTTACCTCAAATGGATACCAAGGCAGTTTTTTTGTGGACTTCATGTCCTGGCAAGCCAAAATTAAAATTTAGTCAAATGTTAAACTCGTCGAATGAAAATTAAAATTCGTTTTGATGAACACGAAACGGTAAAATCTGGATAACTAAAGATATGAGTGTGAGTGAAGTTGCTTGATTCTGAAGGTTCTCGCTATGCGTTGATGTGGATCTGGATCTGAACTAGGGTGTGACAAACCTAGAGTAGATTTGAGATTTGGGACCAAATATCTTGAAATTTGTATTCGAAGCTTAAGCTTGAAGTTAGACTTGGAGTTAATGGCTAAGTTTTGCATTGGATTTGCTTTTGGATCAAACTCACATAAGCGGTTTGCAATTTGGTGATCTTTATTGAAAGGCAAACTAAATTTATATTATTTTTGTCTAAGACCAAATCCAAATACTATGGATTGGGCTCCGAATCATAAAATCTTTTTCTGGGTTGCTACACCTGTACTATAGTAGATTAACATTGATGTTATCTTATATTACGAAATCTTTTGTGATACAGATCATTTGAAGTAAGATCTAAATTCAATTCTAATTTAAAATCCGAACTACATAATACCAAATCCCAAGACTTCGAGTTTGTTATATTTCCAGTCTGGAAGGTCCGAGTGTAAGTGTGGGGTGGAATTGACGTGTCTTAGATCGGTGACTATTTGGTTTTGGGCATGCATATGGATGAGAGCCATGTCCCGATTTCACCAATACTCTCAGATAATATTCGTTAACAAACTTCATGAAATAAAGAAACATTCTCACTGTTTCAACTCTTTGTCCGTCATTACCTGTTCCAGTATTAATGCATATGGACGTATAGAAGTGAAATCATGAATGAGCGTCGACTTCTCAAATGTCTGTTATCCATTTACTCTCTTTTCACGCAACCACTACCTCTTAGCAGATCTCTGCAGTATATTAAGATGTCATTTGGGAATGATTTCGAACTAAACTACTACACATGAGCGCATATTGGCTAAAGATATATCGCG